AACATAACATCACGCCTTTTATCCCCGAAGGGGCAGGCAGAGGTGCACCTTATACCACTGGTACATGGAGGTACAATGTAACACTCACTTTTCACTATTTATGTTATGAGTTCCATGTAATAGAGGGTGAGCCTATTGCCATATACCGGGCACAATTCCAGTTACAAAAATTTCTCGCACATAAAACACTATACGTAAATTTGTAGGCACTATTAGCATTTCACGTCAGTGCCATCCGATGAGAAATACCTACCTCTCCCAGAATTGGGATGATGACAGGGTATGAAAATTAAAAATATAATTAGTCCGTAATTTAGGTAATGAAAAAATATTACACACGTATTTTTTTATTTTCTCGTATAATAAAACAATCCTTAAATAAAACGAATCAAAGTTTAGGAGTGGGGGCTAAAACGTCATTTCTACAGATAAAATGTACATAGAAGTGACGTCACGCGACATTTCAAATCAATAGAGGTATATCGTCGAACGAAAGTATTACCTCTAGTTTCTGATTTAAAATAATGTACTATGAGTTCGTATGCGCTTTCGAAGTTTGCATTTGCACTGGTTGACCAGTTATCTTTTGTTTTAAACATTTTATTTCTTTGTGAAACTAATTTATTACCAATACAGAACTATTTTACTTCGGGACAAAATCGGAATAAATTTCAAGGTGTATAACTGAAATAATATTAAGTATGGGAGAGCCGTGCTGGAGATGTCCTTTCCACGCTTCGTCTTCCAGTCTGTGGTTTCCATTCCAGGACTTCCCCATCTGCCGCCAATCCTTCGAGCGACGTGGCCTGCCTAATCTGATGGAGTAGGCAAACAGTGTAAAGTATAAACCCTGGCAGTGGAGCCCTTAAAGGAAATTTTTCAATAAGTTGACAATTTTATTTTTCACGCCGTGGTCGTCCCCCTATAGGGCAAAGGCCTTCCTACCCTCATTCCACTCCTTTCTGTGCATAGCTTTCTGCGGTCAATCTTTGTCGTAGGTGTTAAGTTCGTCCCGCCATCTCCTTTTGAGCCTGTCGCGACGTCACCCACCGCTCACCCGACATGCGGCAGATGTGACCAACCTGGTTCCATTTTAAACCTGAGGGTTTTTGACAAACGTCAGCAATTTGAGTCATGGCGCGCAGTGTGGTGTTTCTTAATCTGTCCGATAATCGGACTCCTGAGATGCTACGATCCATGGCCCGCTCCCAAACCCTGAGTGTGGACTTCTAATGATGTGCCAAAGACCAACCTATGACAATTTTTACCTAATTAGATATTCATGACAAAATTAAATACTTTCTGTTTGATGTTCATATAGCCTTATTTAGCTAATCCGATCGTGTACGGTCGGCTAACGGAGGGTATGGTAACAGGATTTGTCAAACGTACGTATAATACATGGTAGGAGACAGTGACGAACTAGGGCGGAATGGTATGGTGGCTATGAGTTCGAGAGAATTGATATTTACTTTGTAAAGTCTTGATTTTTTTTTTAATATAGTGAGAAAGCTTTGCCCGTAAAGTCAGTTCATAAAATCCAGTAATGGTGACTGAATGCCTTACAGGTCGAGTGGTCATAAGTGCTATTATTGAGTACAAGCTAAGTTAATAATCGATTTCAATCCAAAATCGCTGAATCGATCTAGGTTTTTCACACAATTTCAATAGGACTATTGTAAATAATAAATGTCGTGGTGGCCCGTGGTGCGGGTTCGAAACCTATCAACGGCAAGTACCAATGTGACTTTCTCCGAGTCATACCTTCTTTGATTATTTAGAAACCACTGATAAACGGTGAAGGAAAACATCGTGAGGAAACCTGGGCTTATTATTTCTAATTATACGTTTGGAATCGTACACCCGCATTGAGCAAGCGTGGTGATTAATACTCAAACCTTTTCCGTGTGAGAAGAAGCTTTGCTTAGCAGTGGGCATTATATAGACCTTTGCTAATGATTGTCAATAATCTAGATGCATATATCTAAGAGATTTGCATTGAATTCGTTTTCTATTTTTGGTCGTAAAAGATTTTGGAATTGATTTTCAGGAGAAGAAAACTCTCAACGAACTACTCAAGACAGACTGTGCCAATTTTTAATTAGCTTATTTTATCAACTTTGTCTTCTGTAACATCGACCTTAACACGTCACATACATAGAAGTAACTCGATGATTTTCCCCCCTTAAAAAAAACATACATCACAAATTAACAGCCTATAAGTGGCTACTGGTGACCAAAGGCCTCTACTCACACGGAGGTTTGAGCATTAACCACCACGCTTGCTCAATGCTGGTTGGCGACTTCATACTTATAATTGGAGGTTATCAGCCCAGGCTTCCTCACGATGTTTTCCTTTACCGTTTGACAGTGGTGTCTAAATAATCTTACAAAGTACATCATTATAAAACGGAAGTCAGCATTGATGTTTGCTGTTGGTATAGAACCCTATATGAGAAGTAGGCGTCTTAAATGAATACTGAGAACAAAATCATTTTAACCTGTAGAAGACAAGAAACTGATATACGTTTTTCCTTAATACTAATAATATGTAAAAGATAAGACTGCTTCGTTAGTTGAGAGATTGCAAGTGCGACTGCCGGGCAAGGGGTCTCGAGTTAGATTCCTGGGTTAGGCGAAGTATTATTACATTAAAAAAAATCAGTAGTTGTCTGACATTGTGCCCAGTATATGGCAATAGGCTCACCCCTTTTTACATGGGACTCATGACATAAATTAGTGAATAGTGGGTGTTACATTGTAAGTACATATATTGGCATTAAATGCCGTAATGCGCACCTCTGCCAATCCCTTCGGCGGTAAAAGGCGTGATGTTACGTGTAAAAGATAAAGTAAGAAAGAAAACCAGTTCCCACTTTTTCCGAAATCATACTTCCCCTACACTCGCCAGAAACCGTATCATCTCTAATTACGTTGGATTTGTTGCATAATGCTAATGAGTGTCTTTGTCGGGAACCGAACCTTGGACTCCTTGACATACACTTAGCATTGTGGCTTTATTAATTAGATAGTATTTAATTCGAAGGTACTTTATATGTTGTTGTGGGTACTTTTATATAAAATTACTTTTTTATGGCATAAGCCGGTACACTAGCAGACGGATCACCTGATGGTAAGCAATCCGCGTCGCCCATGGCCACCTGGAACACCAGAGGCGTTGCAAGTGCGTTACTGGCCTTTTAGAGATTAGGATTATTATTTGAGGATCATTGGGGATTCAGGAATTGGGGATATTCGCGAAGGGGAGGGTAATTGGGTCTCCGGTAACCTCACTCACACGACGAAACACAACGCAAGCGTTGCTTCACGTCGGTTTTCTGTGAGGCCGTGGTATCACTCCGGTCGAACCGACCCATTCGTGCCGAAGCATGACTCTCCCACACTTAGTTCGACAGTGTTTCATCCCTGTGCCTCGAAAAGGATGTAAAGCCGTTGGTCTTACGTCTGACCTCTCTCCGGTCTTGTCGGTCTGCCGTCCCATCGGGTTCCGAAAGTCAGGGAACAGAGAGTGCGCTTGTATTTGCGCACACACTAGAGCACAAATTTTATCTCCTGCGTAGTGGGCTAGTCTAGTTAGACTGGCCACCGTGATCGAAATCGATTGGGAGTCAGTTATCAAGAGTTCTATAGAGTTAAGGGACAGCAATATCAACAAACAATGTCCCCAGCTAGACTATAGACCTCCTCTACATAAGAATGGTTGGCCTATATCTCCAAGCTTGGTATGGAGTTGGAGATGTTGTTGATGGGACACTCCCAAAGTCAAAATCGTTTATTTGTGAAATGTCGTATTGGAATAGGAACGAAATTGATGTGGACATTTATTACCGTCTTATATTATCGTACCGTATTATTTTATTACATTTATCACAGGTATTACTTGATCGGACTTTATTGAAAATCAATACACAAATTTCAATAAAATAAATACTAATTGTAACTATTTCTAAATATAGTGAAACAAGTGAAACAAGCGAAGCGAAACACGTGAACTATACAACTTAACTAAATGAAATAAAAGAAAACTAAAAATAACTATTTACATAAAGCACTATTATTACTGGAAATGTTGAAACTAAATTTCCCAGTAATATTTACTGATAATTTGAATTAAATATCTGAGGATGAAAGAAAGTGTCCGGTATATGGCAATAGGCTCACCCCCTATTACATGGGACTCATAACATTAATAGTGAAAAGTGGGTGTTACATTGTACAGTGGCATAATGTGCACCTCTGCCAACCCCTTCGGGGATAAAAGGCGTGATGTTATGTATGTATGTATCTGAGGATGAAACCACTGGGAAGGTTGAAACAACTGAGAATCAAAAAGTAAGGAGCAGATCTTGGTAAAAGATAGTTATCGTAAAATTGAACATTAATTATTTATTAAAACATCTCATTATTCTTTATTCTTCACACCAAATACATAAAATACAGTTACTATACATTTTCCGTACAAAATAATCGATTAATATTAATTGACAATCGAATGCTAAAAGCTTCATTAATAAAATCGATAAGAGAAAAAAAAAGTAAAAATGTTTATGCGAAATAAAATCATTTGGCATAATTAGCATAAAATTATAAATGATTATAATGTGCTGTATGGTCCGTGCGATGTTTCGGCGTCATACCCTTTTACGACTATAAACCAGTTGTGGACTTTTTTCAATGGCCGCTTATGGCTGCGTTCACGAACGGGCAAAAAGCTCTTTATTCGAAAACTGTTTCGAATAAAATTGTTTGTATTTATGCTAAAGTTTGAAATAAAAATTATGTGTCAATTATAAAATGAAAGTTAAATGTTTGTAGTGGTGAATGAGATGGTATAAGTGTAGAATATTAGTGTACGACTTTAAAAAAGATTGCGATAGAATGAAAGCTCGGCGAAGCTCGGAACGCGTCGTTAGCGAGGGGCGAGCGGTGTCGCGGGGGAGGGGGGCGAGCATGCGTACCGAGCCCGCGGGTCGCATTCCAGTAGTTCGGCCGACCACCGCGCGGCGCTTACGTACCCGTACTATTCCGTGTCGCCCGTTCTCAATACAAAGAACACCTCTGTATTGTAAAAAATCTGTGATGTATTGATTAATTTCAACTTTATCCTCTCGCTAACAACCGTCTAACACCACAGTGAAGTTCAAACCAGTGTTAAAATCAAAGAAAACGTCGATTCCAAAGCGTTTTGAACGGGCCACGTCCTATGAAATTCCTCATTTATCGTTGAATAGAATCTAGCGGTCGGAGGAACATGGAGGGCCCGTCGCGGCGTCTCTGAATGGATTGATCGTGTTTTATATGTGAAATTGTGGACGTTCCGTGGTGTTTAGTGATATTTGAATGTAAATATGGATTGGTGTTTGTGTGAAACAGTGTAGGTAGCACAGAGTTCGTAGCGTCTCCGTCGTATTATGCGAGTCGAGTAAACCAGTCAGAATGGTTTCGCTCACGTACTTCGGCCTCCGTCACACGCCGTGGACCGTCCTGGTGCTGATTTTCTTCATCGAAAGTGTGATGGGGAACTACGCCAAGTCCTTCTACATACATTGGAATACCACAAACAGCATATTTAGAATAGACAACACCGATCACGTATTCGACTTGAATAAAGGCAACGCGCAGTTTGAGTACGACCAAGTGAACATAATATGTCCAGTGTACACGCCAGGGACTTTTGAGGAGGACACTGAAAAATATATAATTTATAATGTGAGCAAAGAAGAGTACGATACGTGTAGAATAACGAATCCGAATCCTCGGATAATAGCTATATGCGATAAACCGCACAAATTGATGTTTTTCACAATCACCTTCCGGCCATTTACCCCGCAGCCGGGCGGACTAGAATTCTTGCCCGGGAAGGACTACTACTTTATATCGACCTCTAGTAAAGACGATCTGCACAGACGCATTGGAGGTCGATGTCTGAGCCATAATATGAAGCTGGTGTTCCGGGTGTGCTGCAAGCCGGAGGAGCAGTCTCCTCCGCCGCAACCACAGCCCACCCTGCCACCACCGCCGCCACCACCCACCACGCCATCCACCACCACGACCACGACAACAATGAAGCCGGTCACTAAAAAGACGCACAAGTACGACAAGACGCCGAATGAAGTTATCAAGAGTGAGGAGTTGTCTCACTCGCGCGGGGCTGCGTTGGCTTCGTCGCTCGCTCTCGCCCTGGCCGCGAGCGCGGTTTTAGCGCCCCTGGCTCGGTGAATGTGCGCCCGGGCGGCTCGACCACCGCGACCCGACCTCGTCGACAAGCCAGGCCCAGCACAGACTCTACACACGCTGCATTTGCGCCCAGACACTCTGATTTATACGTGAATATGTGCGTAAGAAACAGTGTTAGATGTAAAACTAAAGTGAACAGTATAAGTGATGTGCCCCAAGGATTGTGGATCTGACTCGACTAGTAAGTAATCGAATGGTGATGAAGGGATGTGCAAAACTCAAGTTCCGATCAAGTTCCAAACGACAAAACTTTAGTCTGTAAGGGACACGAGAGCCTAATTTTTATCTAAGTAATTATGGGCCTACCGAGTAATCGAACTAATTTGTGAAGTTACTTTTCATTAGATGTCAAACCGTAGACTATCAGTTAAATATTTATATATAAAGAAATGTTAACATGTATGATAAAATTAGGTTTCTTAAACCATTTAGGAATTAACGATTTTTTATATTTTTCATTATGCAAAAGATATTTGTAATAAGACTTAGGGTTCTTAACGGATCAATGCAGATAATAGGAAAACGTATATAAAGAAGAATTAGGTAGCTTTTTTTAATTTTTAGTCCAAAAGACAATTTTTTTTATTTAATTTCAAAACAACAGATATTGCATTAATTAGAATTTATTTATAAATATAAATGAAAATCTTTTGGACAAGTACAGAGTCTTGTCCCGACCACTGTGATTTTGGTTTTAGTATTTTTCTCTTTATAAAATGCTTTTATTATGTGATATATTTACCTTTTATGTATTAAAAGTGAAGCCTTTTTCACCTCATTTCTCTTGACTGATTTTGCATTTCAGCTTTTTAATTTTTATTTAAAGAAAATAAATTATATATAAATCGCTGAGAACACCACTATCTTAGAAAATGGCTGTATAGACGCCATTTTAACATCGAAATAGCTAATGAAATATAAAAAAAGATGGTGGAAAGCGTTTTATAGCTAAATAAAATAATTGAAACCTACACCTATTTAGAAGAGATGAAATTTTCAACGATGTTGTTATAACAATGAAAATTTCATTTTTTCCATAGACACGAATAAGCACTCTCGTGCCATTTTGGAAACGTGTTAAATAACATGTTCTAACAATATTAATGAAATAGTCAAATAGTTTAATAGTAGATGAAATAGACCGGTTTTCTTTTAGAAGTAACTCAATAGCGACAGTTGATATAATTTAGGTAGCTCATAAGAAAACGTTTGACATTTCAAATTGTATTGAGATTATAAACAAAAGCCTAATGTAATTCCCCAAAAAGTGACACGTTATTAGTCAAATTACTTGACACAATCGATTTTGAAGGTAAAGAAAATGAATTTGATCAATCAGATGATATTTCTAAAGTAATTGATGAAGAATAGAATATTCTGGATGACAAAACTAATTACTGTTTTAACAAAACAACGCATATGGTTGAATCCATATTTAAAGGAATTCAGAGGAAAGCTTATTAATGTGAGTCATTGCATAGGAATGATATTCGACCTATCCACAGCAAGCCTATAAGTCATTCCAATGTGACATTTGCAGCAATTTATCTCAATTCTCCAAGATTTATTCATAATAAATAAAGAAATGCTATACCACAAAAAATGGTGGATTCTTATCGATATATCAAAAATGAGTTTCCATAACTTCTGGTATGATTCAAAAAGCATCTGGCCGTAAAAGAAAGAAATAAACGTTCTAAATTTAAACTGCAGCTAATTAAAGATAAAAAGAACGTGACACTAAAAAGGTTTCATTCTCTTTTTTAAAAACAAAACGGTTTTTAACAGTGACTTTGGTCGTGCATTGTTTCCTAAACAAATGTCAGTTTAAAAATAGTTTGTAGCTTTAAGACGACATCACAATTTTAGACTACAAGCTATTACCCGTGACTTGGTTTAGGAGCAAATGAAATGTTTATGTGACAAACGAAAACAAAATGATCATTCAGGAATTATTAATCCGCTTAAAAACTAAACTATGTGCTATATTAGCCTCTAGCCAGATACCATTTATGCGCTTGTATAACGAGAAATCAAAAATTCTATTGGAATGACGTGAATTTTTACACTTGTCAGTATCATTTCCATACATTTAATTTTTACTCTCTCAGCAAACTAGCGCTTCTGACCGTTGGCTCAAAGCACTGAACTATAATCTATCTCTATGCGATTCGCGGATATCAGTTTATTGATTTTTGCGTCTATAACTTTAAATCTTTGCATTGATAACATTTTTTTCATAGCTTTGTCAAACACAAACACAATAACAGACCTCAAAATCAACTCGACCGAGTTTTAGATCAGCATGAAAGTACGGATAATCGATTTAAGATTTAGCATATTCGAGCTTTAAAAATAAACAAAACACTCGTTGACTTGAATAAAATCTGCCCTCAATATTGGTGCGATATTACAAAAAGACTCTTTGGATCGAAAGATTTCTCTTCAGACGTCCATCTTGATATAATTCTGCCAATTTCTCTTTGAATGATATTCTATTTTTATCATGATTATGATAAAAAGTTATAACTTAATGAAATGTGTCCCGATTTTAATTAATTTTATTATTTTTACTTGATATTGATATGGAATTATCTAATGAAGCCTTTAAAGTTTTAATGCTTTGAAGTCTGTAACTCCGTTACACAAAACTACTGAACATCTTATTTGGATAAAATTTTGTATAAAGGTAGATTATGACATAGATTAGCCCATTTATAACTTTTAATCCCGTTTTAACATCAAAACTAAGCTAAATTCCTTGAAAAACTCAGAAATATTTCAAAATTTGTCGCCTTTAGACGATAATTTTCAATTCTCATCGACAACGGATATTGGTATCGCTACAAACCTTTTGTTGTTTGCATTTCACATGTCATGAGCGGAAGGTACTGGACAAACACCCGAGATATTACAAAATACACATTTCTACCACGCCTTTGTTCGAGAACACATCCTCTATTTTACGTTTACTATGCGTCATTGCGACGAAAAGGCGTAACATTGATTTTCTGCTAAAAATGCGAATTTTTTACACTATTTGTTCTGAATAAACATTTTGGCAACTATCTGGTCTCAATCTTTCAAATTGTTTTCAAAGTTTGTCTTGCTTATAACTTCTGCCAGTACCTTCAACCGAGTTCCCATCAAAGCAGAACAGACTATAATTTACCCCTGTTCCTTATTTCAGCTATTTTGACATGATTGAATTACAAACATATACACGAACATTCACAATTATAATGCTAAGTAAAATATACACAGAAATTTAAATCCTACAAATAACAGTTCAGTTTAAAATACCCCATAAGTTATAGGCAACAACGTGATTACAAGCAAAAATGCATAGAATACCCAGTCACTTCCTAGAAAACCATTGCATTGGCTAAAGCTTAAGCCATAAAATCGGTACAATATGCACTATGGCTCCCTAGTCTTAACGATATGAGAAAGCATGAAGCAATAAATTGTATGGAACAAAAGGCTTAGAGTCTTTACAAATATTATTAGTTAGAAGTAAAAGTCGTTATTCTAACGAGTTCTTAACTGTAACCTATACACTTTAGTTTTCATCTTCAGACGTGTCGAAATCTTTCTTGTTAGATTTAACTGTCGTTGAAGGAATTTCGGTTAATGCTTTACAGATTTGGGTAATTACATTTTCTATCGTAGTTGTTGTGATGTCTGTTGCCTAGAAGACAGTTATGTTGTCAAAGTTTAATGATTTTATCTCGCTTCATCAAGTGATATTTTCATTTTTTTGGCTATCTACATACCTTTCGACTTATTGAATATAAACAGCATTTAACAGTTATATATTTCAAGAGGGAAACTTGTCTAACGTAAAATAATACTAAAGAAACTTTGATAGCAAGTCAAACCAGTCTATATTTTTTTACATGTTAAAAGTATTTTTCCTTTTCTTCTAAAACAAGTAAGAAAAACACTGGAGTCCCTCAGGGTTACATTATAGGCCCATCATTAAAGTATCAATATCAATTTACCTTACCTCTGATCGTACATTAAAACCAAACTGCGTTCTTTAAAAAGTTACAATAGCGACTGCCAAGCTCAAGATTTTGAAACCAAAAAGTATTATTAGTGTTGTCCATTTCAAAATTTACAGTATCAGCATGGCATGTAACGTAGTGCTCAGTATTGCTTGCACCCTTTGGTCTGATATCATAGCTATTAATACCAAGTATACTACAGACTGTCTGTCTATTCCTTGGGAGATTAACGGACGTAATGTTATGTTAACTTTTTATAAAGCTCGCACATAAAGATGTAACCTCGCCACAGGTATAACAAGTAACCAAGTCTTACAGTCCGTTGAGTGGTTCTATTTTTATTTTAAACTAAACAGTTAAATATCTACTTAGCGTTTCTGGGTACACGTTTGTTTTAACATCGCTTTCAGTTATTTTCAGTTCCTGAAGGGTTTGTGAACGAACCAATCTTGGATGCATGTTTGTAATAATTTAAACTGTGTTATTCTTTTTCTATAACACACCTTTTTGATGTCTTCGACTTGTTAAAAACGTCAGGGATTTCGTTTTTTTCTTCGTTTCTCTTGTTTTTTGAGAAAGATTAAGTTGTTTCGGTTTTTTTGAAAAGGGTTTTTTCGATGTTAATGTGTCGTTAAAGTCTTGTTGTCTTGGGTAGTTCGTAAATTATCGAAGTGGTGGGCGCTTTTGGTCTTTCTTGTGTCCTATGACAATATTTGTTTGTGTTTCATTATTGTTTTTATCTTTTGTTATCATCGGGATTGTTTTTCTTGGTGATCAATTGAATAATATCTATCACTCGTCAGTGAAGCTATTTGCTCATTCAAAGAGTATTCTATGGTAATCAAGCTAGGATTAATGTTACTCATTTTCGTTTTATTTACCTATATCATATCATTTTAAAATAATTGCTAGGATAAATACCACAAAACGGTAAATAGTACTCGAATGATATTTAATTGTATCTCTAACTGTTTTCTCCAAAATTATGACCAAGAAAGTAATCATGCAAATATCATTCCTTTGCAAAATGTTTCTCTAGCTTTGCGCACTTAATGAAATAATTATAATTAATGTTTGTTTCTTCATAGGAACCGCCTTCAATTATTCCGTCGTTATTATGAATAGTTTTATTCATTTCTTTATTAACCTCTTTGGAATCATGATCATGATTGAAGTTTTTTTCGTCTTTTAAAATTACTTTTGCTGGTATATAGTTAATGTCAGAATATTTATTTCAATTAAACAGTTCTTTGGTGGTTTTAATATTTAAAATTGCAAATTGAAGCATTTCATCTAGTTATTTGCGGCGTTAAGCTGAAATACAGATACAAACTGAAGTCCTTTTATTATTAGATCACATGAACCGTACGGTATTATTAAAGCATTACTAAAAACTGGTCACAATTTCTAAACTTAAACGAATTTCTTTTACCTAGGAATCGAATCCACAATCCCATACTGCACAGTAGCACTTACAACTAACGATTTAGTTATAAAAACCATTTCTCATAATACATTAAACGCATCATAACTCCATTTTGAAATAAATTTAATTAACTAAAGAGAATATGAAACGTAATTAGTTGATATATTTATTGTTATTATACGAACGTGATTATGGCGTTTATTTCGGGACTTTGAACTCTGAGATGGGATTTATATGACATGACGTTATAGAAGTCGCAAAATATAGGTGGCTAACCTATGACATGTGGTATTTATAAAACTCCCATTATAATTTTTAATCTTCTCATTTTTAATCTCAGTAGTAGCACGGAGTCTGGAATTGTGCCCGGTATATGGCAATAGGCTCACCCCCTATTACATGGGACTCATAACATAAACAGTGAAAAGTGGATGTTATATTGTACATTGGCATCATGTGCATCACTGCCTACCCCTTCGAGGATAAAAGGCGTGATGTTTTGTATGTCGCATTATAATTTGAAAACATAAGTGATAATAACTACAATTGCATGTTATTCGGTTTTTTTCTTTAGTTTTCTTTCAAGACAGTGTCCATTGTAACATGTCTCAATCCAAAATGTGTGGATTAAGATCGATTTTTGACAGAAACTCCGTACAACGTAGGTACTGTCAATAATCGATCTATATCGACAGATTTTGGATTAAGATAGTTTATTGAAATTGGCAGTAAGACAAAGGGTTCTTGAATACGCTTTGTATTTTTGTTGCGAGTTTGAGTGCTAAGCAGTTTGTATTCGATTATCGGACAAACAACACGTTATTTGGGTTTCAAACCTTTGTTTAACATTAAAGTCTACTTTTACATACATACATCACCTCACGCCTGTCTCCCATGGTAGGCAGAGACTATGTTACGCCAATTGTTACGATTCTTACTTACCCCTTCGCTTCATCAACAGTCATCAGTCTTTACTAAGACTTTTATCCTATGGCAAAATAATAACTGAGAATTAAATTCAAACTAGAATTTTCTCATGTATGTTTGCATTCACAAACACATAATATTTCATACACAAAGCAAATTGTGAATGATACAAAAAAAAACATATTAAATACGAAACTTATATCTTTCCATATAGAGAAGAAAGTAACCATGATTATAAGTTATATAGACTATGAACATCTTGTATAGCTCAAAGTGAACGAGGCTGTGAAGTTGACCGTACCACAAAGCTAGTTTGGAACCGGTTTGGACAAATAACAGAGAGGTTTTAAAAAAATAGTGGCAACTCTACGCCTTGGTATACTGTTGTTATTTTTATTATTGTGCTTGCTAAAGGAATGGTGGAATTAAACATGTAGATGTTTGATCGTAGTAGTAAAAAGTAGTTTAAAATCTATGTGATTTTTAGAGCAAATTTGTTTGAGACTGATGTCTTATTAATCTTATGTACTTGACTTCATTCTTGGTTTGGATTCATGACTGGGTCGGTATTGTTAGATTTTTGAAAGCTTTCAGTATAAAAACAAAGGCTGGACTGTACCCGCTGTACGCCAATAGATTCTCTATTACTTAGAATTTAGAACTCATATAAAAAAGCGGTGTACCAAATACTAGATGTCACATTGCTTTTGCACCTTTAATTACTCTATTAGGGATTATAAGGCTAAAAATAACTATGATAAAGTATTTCAAATTTGCCCTACCCAAAATATTCTCCGTACAAAACAATTACAGAAAATTATTCAACCACGAGTTTAGACAGACAACGCCGTAGGGCTTACCATTGCGCGCTATCTTGCCACAATATCTCTGAGAAATATTTTGGACTGGGTGTGCCTAAACACACCCTTTTGTCATACTGATTTAAGATCAAATTGTAATAAACATACACTGTTACATAACATCACAATTTTTGTATTATGCACGACATAGTAAACGTTGCACCTATTTGTCGCGTATAATATATCAAATATCAAGTGTAAATATGGACATGGATTGGGAACAATTCCAAACTCTAGAAAGTTGAAACTTTAAATCAAGAAATTCACTGAATTGGATATTAACCTATCAAACCATGGTCAAATGGACCTACTAAAATTGACTCCTATAGCAACTTCACCACCACATGACTGGGAACTGTGATCATCCATTACGTCATAATCAGAGGATATGTCATAATTTTACGTCATAATCAGAGGATATGTCATAATTAATCAGGTTGCAGGATACTGCAGTTTAAAATGTTCAACCTTATCAAAGAGCGTTACTGCTACTAAGATTAACGTGTACTGTCTTAGATTATTTAGATACCACTAACAAACGGTGAAGGAAAACATCTCGAGGAAACCCAAGCTTATAATTTCTAATTATAAGTCTAAAAGTACCTACCCGCATTGAGCCAGCTTGGTGGTTAATGTTCGAATCTTCTCCGTGTGAGAAGAGGCCTTTGGTCAGCAGTGGCCACTTATAGATGCTGATCTGGTGTGCTACTGAGTCTTCTAATACTTATCAATTATAAAGCTTTGTTTGTTTGTTTAATCGCGCTAATCTTATTACTAATCCGATTTGAAAAATTCTTTTTGTGGTGGATAGTCCATTTATCGAGGAAGGCTATATGCTTTAAAATACTACGCTAAAATCAATAGGTGCTAAGCAGAGCTGATGAGATTAAGTAGTTATCAAATATATAATCGCATTCGGTTCTTAAGATTACTCTCAATTATAGAAGCGATGATAAATCTACCACATACAGCAAAAACTGAGGATCAAATTGAGAAAGTTTCTCAGTACACACAAAAAGAAACAGTAAAGAAGTATGTGATATAAAAATTAATGGAAAATAATTAAATTTTATTGCAAGACGCGATCGCATAAACATTTTAGTTGAAACGGTCGTCGAATTTATAGCCAATTGACCAATGGCACATCGTAGTGAAGTTGAAATCGTAAATGAAACCTGTCCTAGTATTGTTCGCGTATCTATAATAACACTCAAATAAATGGATAATAATATAGATATACATGTAGATTTTAACATAGGTGAAGTGACTGGTCGATTGAATCGTGGCTAACGTGTCATAGGGTGATATTTTTGTGTGATCAACAATATGCTGTTTTCATAATAACTATCGTGAGACATACTAAATTAACTAAAAATCGCGGGTTACTCACGTGAATGTACTGATAGTCAGTAGGCTGCGCGATATCACCACGACCGCGCACCCTGCTCATGGGAAAGGGTTCTTCCTCGTGAGCAGGGGTTCTTCCTCATGAGCAGCGTGTAACAAATGTAGTGAAAAGGGGGTGTTATATTGTACAGTGGCATTAAGTGCCGTAATGTGCACCTCTGCCTACCACTTCGGGTATACACGGTGTGATGTTATTTTATGTCTTTTATTCATTCTTATCTATAGCATTTACACGTTTAAACATTTATTTAACTTTATAATCGCTATTACTTACATTAGTACTGTATTTATCATATCTTACAGCTTTAGTTTTATTCAATAGGTCAGTGACTGCTTCCAAAACGCTTTCAGATATTTTATTCCAATGCTTGTCACAAGTCGTTTGTCAGCCATTTTTCTTTTAGTTCGAACAAACAAAAATGCAAATGAATCTTTTACTATTTTGCTGTGATTCCGTATTATGATATTATTCGATGTTTTTTGTACGGATTTGGGATGGATTGTCTAACGTTTATATTTTATCGTTCATATTCTGTTGAACATTTCGTTTATTCGTTTGTTTTCTCCCTTTTTTGGAAGGCCGTGTTGGTTGAATGGTTATTAGTGCAAATATGACTTCTATGTTTTAGATTTTTAGGTCCCTATTTTGAGATTATCGACGTTGTTTCAAAATTCTCGTTTTCTGAAAAAGGATTTAGTATTGAACGGATTTTGATTCGTGTTTTGTTTATAATCATAAAATGAAATGGCTGTCAGGCACAACAATCAAACCCAACTCATTCTCAACACTTGTGTAATCAAAACAGTCGATCTTGTTCACTACAGTAAAGATAATGACCCGAAAATCGGTACACACTAATTAGCAGTACTTATAGCCAACGAACCAGAACAGCTAACAGCAACAAAAAAAAGATGGCCGCTAAAAAAACTGCACTAAAACATGATAATAGAGGTCTTGAAGACAGATCTCTGTTTGCCTAAAAAAAGGCAAAAAAACGAACATGCTATTAAAACCGCGGACGGATAAGAAATAGCATATAAATTACAAGCAAAACCAGGTTATAAATCATAGCCGTATATTAATCTTGTGAAACGAACGTCTCTATTCTAACTTTTGTTATTTTTGTAACAGTGTTACCCAAAGTTGTTACTGAGAAAAATAAACACAACTGAGCTGTTCGAACCCAGAACCAGTTTAATAAAGTCTCATTTTGTATAGTCTTTCCAAACTTTCAACGGTCAATTTATATTGGTTTTGTATAGCTTGATTTGCGGCCGTGCTCGTAAATAAACGCATGGTTCTTTGCAAATGGATGAATTCTGGGAATATTGTAGTTCAATGTAGGTTATGCGAAATTCACGTTATAATATGATTGATTTGAGAATTCCCAGTAATCGTATGACGTCTGGAGTTGAGCCCGTGCCCAGTTTTACGTCATTTGACCCGTTCTTAGCTCCTCCCTAATTATTAAAAAAAATTGAATAAGAATTGTACCATGTAGATCGTATGCGCTTTTTTTATGTGGAGTGAAGTAACAGTGAGTGCTCTTGTATTATCTCATACTTAATTCTGTAGTGGCTAGCACATCAATCTACTCTAATTTGTCAATTTTTGTCATTGGATTTTGAACTTTATACCTGAACGATAGGGTTGAAAATCTAATAAAGAAGTGTGACTGAAAAAAGTGGGCTGCTGCTGTTGAGCTGCTGCCTAGTGTACTATAATATTTATCTCTTCTCCTACGTTGACTAAACTAGATAACAATGGCGATTAAAAAATTAACTAGTATCTGATAGTTTAATATTACCGATTCCCAACAATCTCTCGAATTCTTAATCCCCAAAAGGCCGATAACGCACTTGTAACACCTCTGGTGTTGTGGGTGTCCATTGGCGGTGCGAATTGCTTACCATTAGGTGGTCCGTCTCCTCGTTTATCAGCTTATTCCTTAATAAAGGCTTCTCCAAACACGGCCTTCACAGCTCTTCTTGTCCAAGCCAATATATACTGTCCATAGGACAAATAAACATTTTAGAACCACTGGACATAATTTGTTAAAAAAAAAACTAATAATTAAAATTTAAAAACTTAATGTAAGTATACAATTAAGATATAGATAGCATCAACGACTCGCTAAAAGATAAAAATGATAATTATTATGAAACGTTTACAATA